ACTATACAAGGGAGGAGGCCCCGTGGGGGTTTGCGGGGCCCTAGCCTGGGGTAGTGTTGGGGGGCCCCCCCAGGGGCCTTCAGGCTGGAACTGCCCCTGGGGGGGGTATAGTGCCCTCGGGGGGGGGGTGGGGGTAGAGCCCCCCCCCAGGGCTGTATATGGAGCCCTGACCTGCCCCTGGGGGTCTATAAGGCCCCTAATTGCCCCCGGGGGGTATGTAGTGCCCCCCCCCGGGTAAATAGATCCCACAGGTGCCCCTGGGGGGGGATGTAGTGCCCCCCCCCGGGGGTAGATTGAGCCCATAACTGCCCTGGGTGTGGGGGGACACACACAGAGCCCTTAACTACCCCTGGGGGTATGGAGAAAACTCCCCTGAGGGACAAGACCAGGGGGGAGAGCACATAGAGACTTTAACTGCCCCGAGGAGGTATGTAGAGCCTATAAGTGCCCCCAAGGGGGTATCTAGAGCTCATAATTGCCCTTGGGGGTATATATAGAGCCTGTAAGTGCCCCCAGAAGGGAACACAGAGCCCATAACTGCCCCCAGAGGTATATAGAGCCCCTAAGTGCCCCCAGAAGGGAACACAGAGCCCATAACTGCCCCCAGAGGTATATAGAGCCCCTAAGTGCCCCCAGGGGAGGTATATAAAGCCCCTAAGTGCCCCCAGAGGGGTAACAGAGAGCCCATAATTGCGCCCAGAGGGCTATATAAAACCCATAGGTGCCCTCTGCACCCCCCAGCCAGGCTCCCGGGGGGGAGGGGTTGGGCAGGAGAGTACCGAGACCTCCCTGGGGTGCCATGAGCTGTAGGTCAGCAGCTGGGCTCACCTCCCTGGGGCAGCAGGGCTCGGGAAGGTGACAAAGGCCACTCTGCCACCCCGTATCCTTCTGTGTGTGTGTCTCCTGCCCCCCGCCCCCCCGCCCCGCGCCGGTGTCACACGAAGACCTTGGCAAGGGCGTCAGCGCCGGCGCTGGCACTGAGGGCCCGGCTGGGGTGGAAGGCGACGGCGTGGACGGCTTCCTCGTGTTTCTTGCGGTGTGCCGTCAGCTCTTGCACGCACGTCTTGTGAGCCAGGTGCCAGAGGCGCAGCGAGCAGTCGTGACCTGCAGTGG